CTTGCACTCAGAGGTACAACAGTGGCATATTGTAGAACATTACATGTGGTTCTCATGCTAAAGAATGATTTTTAGAGACATGGAGTATCAATGCAAAATATCAAGATTCAGAATTAATATTGGAAACCTGAAAGTAGACAGGCATGTAGATCTTCCATACTCATTCTCATTCAGAGACCCAAAACATTAGCAGTTGTATGTGTAATAGAGACATGACAAAAGTGAAATCTTGTAAAAACATTTATATGTAAAAGTATCTTGCAAAATATAGAGAGAGGATTCGGAAACCCTTGAGACTGTGCATAAGTTGTAAAATAGAGCCCAAAAGTAGGAATAACTTAATTCTCACAGAGGTTTCCTGGAAAGACATTTGTGGCATACATGTGCTATAAAAATGAGTCAAATTTTGTTTGCAAAATCACCTTAATAATCCTTTTTCTGAACTAAGATGATTAGTTGAAGCCCAGATCACAACAGCTAGAGTTAGGTTAAAGGACCAGATTTACTGATATGAATACAAGCAACTTCCAGGAAAGATTGGTAGAATTCCTTTATTAAATGTATATTTTTGCATCCCTTCCTGAATATGAAGTTTAATGTAAAGTTTATTGAAATGATCCATTAAGCCCTTTTTTATAGGAAGATAGATCCTTATAGTAATTCCATTCTTACATGTATAAAATGCATGATTATTATGTATATGTATTTGGTAACACAAACATTATTTATTATTTAGTGGAAATAACATTTGGCAGACATGCAAATCATAATGCTGCAGGCTAAAATCAGACTATTTTTCTGTTTCCAGACTTTGATCAGTATGGTGGATATAGACGGACAAGGCCACAGGTGAGAATCTAAGAAATGCAAAACAAGAAATGGAAAAAAAACTACAAAAGACTAGGGCAAATGGATTATATATTATCATAGGACTGTCCCAAAGTAAACATACCGTAAAGTTGATTGATATCTAAAAAAAACAGTACAGAGTAACTGGTAGAATATGTATGGGGTATGTATGATTGACTGTAGTTGGTATTCTTATTAGAATAAAATTATTTCAGGTTGGTGCACCTGGATTTAAAAGGAGCACCACCAAGGATAAATTATTATGAACAGGTAAGTTATATGGGATTTAATTTAGGCCTCTAAACTTTCATGGTGCACATGGCTCTTGGATAATAATAATGATGATAATAAAAAATTGGGAGCAATAAAAAATATAATTAATTGTTGTTTGTTACCAATTTCAGTTGTTTCCGCTCATTAGAAGCTTTGGAGCCACTGGTTTGCTAATTGAATATGAAGATATGTTTCCGTATCATGGCAAGCTAAAGCACTTACAGGCTCAAAATGCATACACACACAGATGACATTGCAAAACTCCACAGCATGGCAGATGTTAATAATCTCATTATCATTCCCCTGGTCCAAACATTTGGACATTTTGAGGCAAGTCTCAGAATACTTGTGAATTTTTGTAACATATTAGGAAATACTGTCTACAGAACTTGGGATTTTAATTGACCAGTAGAAAGGGGGGTAATTCGGGAAAATTATGTCTATGCTTTTTGCAGTATGTCTTGAAGCACGATGAGAACAGAGCGCTGAGGGAGGTGGAGCATTATCCTAATGCTCTCTGTCCAACACACCCAGATGCCTTCCCTTTGGTCACCAAGCTCATCACACAGATCCTGGAGCTCCATCCCAAAGACAAGCATTTGCATATTGGAGCTGATGAGGTACGGTGCTTTTTCTCTCCACTTTATTTATTTAAGGAAAAGAATTATAGAATTTTATTTAATTTTATTTTATTTTATTCTATTTATTTGTTTATTTACTTTTAATCAAGAGATAAGTGATGGTTTTAGTTTTTAACCCATTGATGCCAGTATGATGTGTAAATGATATGTCCTATGTGTGTGGTTTTACACATAGATGGTTCCACAAGAGCTTAATCACCATAGGTGTCTTATGTATCTCACCTGTTACCCTTTCCTTGCTTTTTGGAAAGTCACATACTCGCTCACTCTCTTACTCTCACACGTATGTGCGTGCACGCACACACACACACACACGCACGCACGCACGCACGCACGCACGCACGCACGCACGCACACGCACGCGCACGCACGCACGCACACACACACACACACACACACAACACACACACCACACACAACACACAACACACACAACACACACAACACACACCAACACAAACACACACACACAACAACACACCACAACAACACAACAACAACACACACACACACACACACCACACACACACACACACACACACACACACACACAATACAACACACACACACACAACACACAACACACATATACACACACACACACACACACACACACACACAACACACACACACACACACACACACACACACACACACACCCACAACAACACACACACACACACACACACCACAAACATATACACGCACACATACACGCACACATATACACGCACACA